GGGGGGGGGTCGCGTTATTTATTAACGCGTTCCCTTAGTATTAAACTTGAAGTATAAGGGCAACGCGCGGATCAACATTCCACGGAAACGGTATTTATTCATGAGAACCCTGTAACTCCGACGAAATTCTGGGTTAAGTTAACTTATCCGGAGCCACGCATAATAAATACGCTACATAATTAACACTCTGAATGGTTTAACGCCGCTGAATAATGAATTGCTACTGCTTGTGTGGCTGTTTAAGACATTTCAGATTTCAGGCTCCCTTTAAAGTCAGTTAGCAGTTAGTTAAAACTAAACTTACTGTTGAAAAGGAATGAATTAAGAAACAAAGAGAAAATGAATAATATCTGAAAATATACGATGCGAGATAGTTGAAGAATTGATTAAGACACTATATTCAAAACTGCGTTAGTAACTGTTCATCTACTTTCTTCCTTGTACAGACATTAATTATATTTGCATAGTGATATCACTTATTCACCAGCTAAAATGTAAGCATAATATTAAGCAATGATTTATATATCGTTTATATATTTTTATTTAGACTTGTTTATTTAGAATTTTGTGCTAATTAAAACAATCTTTTGCAGCGGTGATCGGTGGCGCAGTAGTCGGTCTACTTTGCGCAATCCTCGTGGTGATGTTCATCGTGTACAGGATGCGCAAGAAGGACGAGGGCTCGTACGCCCTGGATGAGCCAAGAAGATCACCAGCGGCGCAGGCGTTCCTTAAGCCCGGCGCGCCGCATCACAATCGGGAATTCTACGCTTGAGGCGACAAAGCTTATCTGGCTTTGGCACCGCCCAGTTTTGTCCCACGATACCATGCCGAGAAAGACGATGTCCTTCGACCGAATTAAGCGCCACCGCCGACGATACGATACATCCGGAATCTCCCACGAGTGTCTTGCGAAACACCTCGTTCACTGACCATAGAGAGAGAGAGAGAGAGACTTCCTTCACGTCGGGGAAAAAGCGTCACCTTAATATATCTTTCTAATCTTTCGTTCAGGGGCTTTCCCAATGCTTCCGTTTCCATTCATCTAAACGCGCCTCGATATATTCTTTAACGATCTATTCATTTCGATAATATTCTATGTTTTATATAATAACAGGCGCCTGTTTTTAAGTTTAATAGGTTACTTTCTGAGGTGGAACCTCCCTTAACACACCACATCACTCTATTTTCCTACTCGCGTGCCATCTCGCTGCGAGTAGTTCCCTGTGTTAAGCATTGGTCCACCTCCGGCAAGTACAAACGTCGATTTTCCCTCTCGGGTTCTAATCTAATTTATTTTATACTTTCGTACGAACTCGGTGTTTAATTGTTGGATGTTTTGTCTTTCTTCCGTAACTGTCGTGCGCTGATCGAGCAGGAAAGAAAAAGGGCGATGACTGATGAAGCGCCCCGTCGCCAGTACTCGTCGGCAAGGTCGCGCCAATTCCAGATGCATTTAAACAGCATGTATTTCAAAACGTATACGTATCCAAGCGTACGTACCTGCACGCCACCCTGTACAGGACTGAGAGCGCGAAAATTCGTGGGCGATAAACGCTGCTGGTATGTCGTTAATCATTCTGGTCCGGTGGAAGGAGGGAAAGGAAGAAGGATCGTTGCGCCACCGTGATTTCTCTTCAACGCCAATCCCATGAACCACGACCTCGTTTA